AATGACTTTTTTCCCCAAATGATTTTAAAATAGTTTTTTTCTATAATTTTAATAATGTTAGACTTTTAAAAGAATTTAATGAATCTAATATGAAAAACTACAAGCCAATAAAATAAAACACAAAACAGAACCCTTCAGCGATCTGTTTCATTCTGATAATTTAAGACCATTCCTTATTATCCTGATACAACATAACCATGATTACAAAAAAAGAGGACTGTCATTCAGACAGCTGATCAGGTAAATGCAAATCAGTTGCTCTGACAGAAGGGGGGTAGGGGGTTTGGGGGGGGTGGGGGGGGGAAGCAGGGTCACTCCAGCAACTTAACTGCTTAATGTCAAAGACAGAAACCATAAATGTAGCTGAGTACAGAGATTGTAACATGATCATATAAACAAAGTCTCATGGCAAATCCAAACATTTGGGACTGGACTACACAGCTGGACTTAGTGCTTTGATTAACCCCTTAAGGACTGGACTGTTTTTGCGATGTTGTACATTTGCGACCAGGCATATTTTTACGCTTTTGTGGTGTTTGGGTTTGGCTGTAATTTTCCGCTCTCTCATTTACTGTTCCCATACAAATTATATATTGTTTTTTTCAGGACAAAAGGGGCTTTCTTTACATACCATTATTTATATAATCTCATGTATTTTAATTTAAAAAAAATAAAAAAATATGATGAAAAATTGAAAAAATACATGTTTTTTGACTTTTACTTGAAAAATCTTTTACTCATCTACAAAAGCGAATGGAAAAAACTGCTAAATAGATTCAAAATTTTGTCCTGAGTTTAAAAATACCTAGTGTTTACGTGCTTTTTTGCTTTTTTTTGCATGTTATAGGGCTATAGGTACAAGTAGGATATTGCGGTTTCAAAACATACATTTTAAAATTTATCAATAGTGACATTGTAACACTATTATCTGTCATAAATCTCTGAATAACACCCACATGTACATATTTTTTTTAAAGTAGACAACCCAGGGTATTCAATATGGGGTATGTCCAGTCTTTTTTAGTAGCCACTTAGTCGAAAACACTGGCCAAAGTAAGCATTCATATTTGTTTGTGTGTGAAAAAAGTAAAAAAACTAAATTGAGCGCTAATTTTGGCCAGTGTTTGTGACCAAGTGGTTACTAAAAAAGACTGGACATACCCCATTTGCAATACCTTGGGTTGTCTTCTTTTGCAAATGGTATGCCATCATGGGGGTAATTCTCATTACTGGGCTACCATACGCTCTCAAAGGCAACGTAACCAACCTGGCCATTTTCAATGTAAAATATTTGACCCATATATTTGACCTTGTAACTTTCAAAAATGCTATAAAACCTGTACATGGGGGTACTGTTTTACTCGGGAGACATCGCTGAACACAGATATTAGTGTTTAAAAACTGGAAAACGTATCACAACAATTATATCATCAGTAAAAGTGTTGTTTGTGTGTGAAAATGCAAAAAAAGTCACTTTCACTGACAATATCATCGCTGTGATATGTTTTACTGTTTTGAATCACTAATATTTGTGTTCAGCGAAGTCTCCCGAGTAAAACAGTACCCCCCCCATGTACAGGTTTTAGGGTGTCGTAGAACGTTACAGGGTAAAATACAGTGCTAGCAAATTAAATTCTCTGGACTTTTGGCCTGGGTTGGCAGGCAGGTCCCTCAAATTGCAAGCAATAAAATTACTTAATTATGTAAAAATATTACATAAATATGCACGTAGAATTTAAATATATATGCATATTTATATATTTGTGTATATTTATATAATTATTTATGTAATTTTGTATATGGACATATGTATATTTCGTATTATTTTTATTTATTTATATATACATAGATATATATACAAATTCATTCTAAGTGTATTTTGATATAAATATATATATATATTAATTTTAAAATACAGTTAGAATAAAATTTCATATAGATATATAAATTTTTTAAATTTTTATTATTATTTAAAAAAAATTAAATTTAATTTAAATTACTTATTATTTATATTTTATAATAATGTGTTAAGCGATCACATGGCCCCATGGGTCCTAATCTGGTGTGGTGAGACTGTCTGGGCTGCAGGCAGTCTCCCCATAACGGGAGCAACGCTGATCGCCGCCGGGGGAACGGCGGCGATCAGGTAAGTAACTAGGACCGTTAGGACGGTTCAGGACTGTCAACGGTCGGCAATGGGAAAATGCCGATGATGGTCCTGAACCGTCCTCGGTCCTGAAGGGGTTAAAGTAGTCAGTCTCTAGTGCTCAAACAGGTGCAGCTTCTTTAAGGGTTGCCAGATCCCCCATCTTTTACTGGACACAGCACTTATACAAGCTGGTGGGCAGCAACTGACAGTGTTGCCCTGTGGAATGTATAACTCAAGTCATAGAATAAAGAATGCAGCATGTGAATTCCTCATACTCCAGGGCATCACATTTCATTGTAAGTAGAACAGCAGCAGCCTCAAAAACTCACGCCGAATTCATCCTTGTGAATACACATTTAGCAACCCCATCTTTTCTAAATAAAAAGATAAAGCTTTAGGACTAAATAGGCATAGGACTAAACTAAAGGTGGGCACAGAATAAGACTAACCTTACTGGCCACAAACTGGAGATGCCAACAAGGCGCTCAGTGTCTCCTCAGGCTGTCCCTATCCTGAAATCCCCAGTGAGGTAAATGACCCATTCATAAGATTCACACTTATTACATATTCAGCACAGCCAATAAGAGTTCAATGTAGACTGAGTTGCTGATATGACTGTTTCCTACAGCCAGTTTCTCAGAAATACAGTTTTCAACTATAAGGTTGAATGGGCAGCATCTTTGCCCTAAAATCACTTCATTAAAGTGACGTTATGGTGATGCATAGCCTGTGCCTTTAAACTTTCAAATCAACTTCTGCTAAAAACAGACTGTTATGCATGATTAGTTAGTTACTCTTATTTTCTGCAACACTCTGCAGAGCTCAAGATGGCTGTGTTTTAGCCATCTGCTTAAATATCAGGAACAAAGAGTTTTTTACAATATTAACTTTAGCTGGACAAATATAGATATAGTGGTTTAACACAGTGTAAACAAACTAAACAGTGTCTCTTTCCCAATGCTTTCCCTTCCTCACAGACACAGTATCAGGTCTGCTGCTGAAGGGCAGTGATGTGAGCCTAATGTGAGGTTTCCTGCAGCCTAGCCAGTTACAGCCACTGATCTCCCTGTCCACATACCTTGGCAGTCATGCTGTGCGAAACTCACACAAACTTCCCATAGAACGTTGCCCTAGAACGTCCCCGCTCTGTGTTCGGTTTAGGCGCATGCCGACTTCCGATTGGCTGCAGCAAGGCCGGCCACCCCGTGCCTGTGACGTGACCGCCACGTCCTTCTGCCTTGTAGAGGAGACGGGAGAAGGCTGCTCTCCGCGGGAGGTGAGACCTGGGCTGCGCTCGGCCATGCTATAAGAAGTAACCGGCTGGAGGGGAGCGCAGTGAGCTTCCCTCCTGCCAGTTAGCCTGACATTGTGCCCCCTGGGCCGCTGCGCCTTACGGTTGCGCCGGCCCTGGAAGGGGAGGTTTCATTTTCTGCAAATTTGATACATTTTCGGCTGAAATGTGATAGACCCAGTTTCGGTCGAAAATTTCTGGAGATGAAATTTCGGTGCATCCCTTAAAACAATATCAATACACAATATATATAAAATTTAACATAGAACAGGTAGGAAATATATAATCAATCATGACAGGTGCCTTCGGTTTTGAGATATGTAGAGAGGGATCTCTTAAAGGACTTTAGGCTTGTGGACGATTTGAAAGTGTGCAGGAGGTCATTCCATAATTACAGTGGTCTGTAGGAAAAGGATGATCGAGCTTCTTTTTTTTTGTATTGAGGTGGACTAAATAAAGTGCTGGTACTGGATCGGAGGTCGTAGGAGGTGGGAACAGCTGGGGAGAGCATTACTTCTGTGAGAGTTTCACAGAAATATTGGGCCTTGTCCAATTTTGTTTGTCTAGTGCATATATTTCTCCAAAGGCATTGTTGACCCCTCTCCAAACATAGCACCTATGGTTGTGACCATAAAGCTCTATTTTGATCTCGTCACTCCAAAATACAGTGTGCTAGAAGCTGCGGCGTGTCAACGTGTTGTCAGGCATATTGTAACTGGGCTTTTTTGAGGCATTGGTGCAGTAAAGGCTTCTTTCTGGAAACTCGACCATGCAGCTCATTTTTGTTCAAGTATCGTTGTATTTTCTCCTTGAAACAACCACACCATCTTTTTCCAGAGCAGCCTGTATTTCTCCTGAGGTTACCTGTGGGTTTTTCTTTGTATCCAGAACAATCCTTTTGGAAGTTGTGGCTTGGTCTACCTGACCTTGGCTTGGAATCAAGAGATCCCCAAATTTTCCACCTCTTAATAAGTGATTGAACAGTACTGACTGGCATTTTCAAGGACCTGGGTATCTTTTTATATCCTTTTCCATCTTGATAAAGTTCCATTACCTTGTTACGCAGGTCTTTTGACAGTTCTTTTCTGTTCCCCATGGCTCAGTATCAAGCCTGTTCAGTGCATCCAGGTGAGAGCTAACATAATCACTGACTATTTATACACAGAGACTTATTGCAATTTAACTCCTTAAGGACGGCGGGCGTGCTATACCGTCCTTGGGGACCCGGCTCTAAACGCTGGGTGGGTGGCATAGCACGTCCCCGCCGTCCTATGTACATACCCAGTCGCCGGCGATCGCGGTGGGGGACTCACCTAGCATCCCGGAGAGTCCCCCTGCTGCTGTTCCAGCCCTTCTGGGCCATGTGATCGCGAGGTCCTTGCGAGGACCTCACAATCACATGGATGGCATATCCACAGCAGTGCCAGCAGGGGTAGTGCCTGCAATTACAGGTAATCCCCCTGCTGCCTCTAAAATGTAAAAAAAAAAAATAATTATATATACTTAGATCAAAATTGGCATTCAAATTAGTGTTTTGCATTTTTCACACACAAACAAATATTAACACTAACTTTGGCCAGTATTTGTGACCAGGTGGCTACTAAAAAAGACTGGACATACCCCATTTGCAATAACTTAGGTTGTCTACTAGTGCAAATGGTATGCCATCATGTGGGTAATTCTCATTCCTGGACTACCATACGGTATTATATTTGACCCTGTAACTTCCCAAAACACCATAAAACCTGTACATAGGGGGTACTGTTTTACACATGAGACATCGCTGAATACTAATATGTGTATTTTATTGCAGTAAAAGCAAAACAGTATTATGACATTCACAGTTAAAATGTCACGTAGAACTAAAAAAAATTCTTATTTTCTCCAATTTGTAAAAAATATTTTATTCATATTAAATTATATTTCATAGCTAAATATTTGTTATGTTAAATGAAAGCCCTGTTTCCCCTGAATAAAATGATATATGTGGGTGCACTTAATATGAAAGAGGTGAGTTACGATTGAGACATATAGTCAAATTCCAGATTTTTTTTTACTGTTTTGTTTTGATCACAACGTGTACATTTGGCTCAGTCCTTCAGGGGTTAAAAAGCCACAGGTGTGGGAAATTAACATTTAATTGCCATTTTAACCTGTGTGTGTCACCTTGTGTGTCTGTAACTAGGCCAAACATTCAAAGTTATGTAAACTTTTCATCAGGGCTATTTGGGGATTTCTGTTATCATTATGATTTAAAAAGGAGCCAAACAACTATGTGATAATAAACGGTTTCATATGATCACTATCCTTCAGTAAAATACATTTTTTTGCATGATCAGTCATATTTTTAAAATTTATGCCAACATTTTACAATTTCTGCCAGGCTATGCAAACTTTTGAGCACATCTGTAGCTTAGCACAATTTAACACATGTTAACACTAAATGGCAATGTGCATTTACTATATTGCGAAAATCTCCCCCTCCCTTCTTTTTTTTTTTTCTTCTTCTTTCTTCTCTCTCCTCATTTCCCCCTCCCCTTCTCTCTCCTCCATTTCTCAAGCCCTTTCCATACCTCCCCCCCCCAAACCTCTCCCTCGCCCAACAACATCCTCAACCCCTTAACTTCATCCCGGCTTTCTCGCCCTCCTCCCAGCCCCATCAATCATAGTGAGAGGGGCTGGCCCCCTCTGGTCACCTCAACCACATTCACGGGGTCACACTACGCTAACCTTGCTCCTCATCCTGAGTCACACAATCTGTTAGGACCCAAACATCTTAAGTGTACACTAAACAGCGCACTCCGAACCCCCCTGGGCCTGCAACAAAAGAAAAAAAAAACAACCCTCGCGAACCCCACCTACGTCCACTTCCACGCATAGCATTCGATAAAAACAAAGATTTCTTCCACTTCACATTGAATGCGTGCACACAATCTCTCAACCACACGGAACACACAGTTCAGCACACCAACAAAAAGGAACGTGATGTGGACCGTGACTAATGATATAATGTATGCTAAGTGCTAACCCAAATGTATAAAATCCCCTAACCTTCATTCTTTCTTCTGTTACCCCTCCTCTGCTACTCAAACTATGACACAATGTTATGAATAAAGAATGTATAGAAATAACCCACACTTTGCAAACCCAGACGGTTCTCCCCACTGTGGGTGGCATGGGAGCACCACCTCAAAGCCACACAGTTTACAATTTATAGCACCTCACTCTGAAAAGAACACAATTTGGATTGTATGAAAACATGCAGCTGTACTTTATGATGCCCTGAGTGTAAAACTGTAAACGTAACCTCTAAAAATGGAAATAAATAAAGAATTTATAAAAAAAGAAATATTGCAAAAATAAATACCATTAACTAAAGAAATATCTGTACACTTTTAAAGTAATTTGGGCTAAAATGGCTGTAAAATAAGGGTCAACATATGAGATACCCAGTGGTGTCTACTTTCACAAATAGTATGCATTTATGCAGTGTGGATTTGATTTAAATTAATAGTTAAGGGGACACTTCAGTGCCACAAAAACAAACCGTTTTCCTGGCACTGCAGGTACCCTCTCCCTCCCACCACCCATCGCATGTTGCTGAAGGGGTGAAAACCCCTTCAGTGACTTACCTGAGACCCCCGCCGATGTCCCGGCGGTGGTTTTGGGTCCGCCCACGCTCCTCCCCTGCCGATGTCATCCGCGCGCGCATTAGACCTCTCCATAGGAAAGCATTAGAAATGCTTTCAGTGCTTTCCTATGGGGAATTGAGCGACGCTGGAGGTTCTCACACAGCGTGAGGACGTCCAGCGACGCACTAGCACAGAAAACCTGTGCTAGAAATCAGGAAGTGGCCTCTAGTGGCTGTCTAGTAGACAGCCACTAGAGGAGGAGTTAACCCTGCAATGTAATGAATGCAGTTTATGAAAACTGCAATATTTACAGCTGCAGGGTTAAGGGTAGTGGGAGTTGGCAACCAGACCACTCCAATGGGCAGAAGTGGTCTGGGTGCCTGGTGTGTCCCTTTAAGGCTTGTTTTAAATCATGATTTTTAAACATAAAGACTAATTCTTGCTGGTTGTTTTAATATTTGCAACCAGATGAAGATTTCATTTTTAGAATAACTTTTCAGTTTAGATTAACAGATATTTAAATTAATGCATGTAGGGGTAACCCATTAGTGTACAGCATGCATATACAGACTGAATGCAAAGGGTCTAATCACCACTCCCTTAAAGGACCACTATAGTGCCAGGAAAACAAACTTGTTGTCCTGGTTCTATAGGGTCTTTAGGTCCCCCACACCCTCAGGGTCCCACTCCCGCCGGGCTGAAGGGGGAGGAAGGGGTTAAATTCTTACCCTTCTCCGGCGCTGGGGACTCTCCTCCCTCTTCTGACGTCATCCGCCGAATGCGCATGCGTGGCAAGAGTTGTGCGCGCATTCAAGCAGTCCATAGTAAAGCGTTTCTCAATGCTTTCCTAAGGACGTTGGCATCTTGTCACTGTGAAAATCACAGTGAAAAGCGTGGAAGCGCCTCTTGCGGCTGTCAATGAGACAGCCACTAGAGGCTGGATTAACCCTAATGTAAACATAGCAGTTTCAAGAAAAAAAAGCAATGTTTACAGCTGCAGGGTTAACCCTAGATGGACCTGATACCCAGACCACTTCATTGAGCTAACAAAAGTGTTAATCAAAAGTAAGCAGATAAATTGGACAGAGAAACCACCCAAATTTCGGCACAAATTACCTTTATCAAGGGTGAATAAAAGTCACTTACCAATAGGTATGTATATAGAGATCAGTAAATTAAAAAAAAAACATCAAGCACCTAAACACAAAAGCAAAAACACCTGTGTAAACGAAGTAAACACAAACGTGAAAAAAAATCAAAGATGATGGACTGTTGCTATAGAAACAGACATTATGCCATGATATATCTTGGAAATTATGATACTACCCTGGAAGCAGCACAAGGTCTGTGATTCAATAGTAAAAAGGTTCTAATATAAGCAATAGTTGGCTTGATAGGTATCTGGCAAAAGACCTGAAGATACTTTTTTCATTGCAGACTTTAGACTTCGGGTTTAGGGCAGTGTGGCATCGTCAAAGTACGAACGAGTGGTATGTCAGTGACGTCAGCGAATTGCTTTGCTCTTCTTGACCCTTAAGAGACACCATATTCGAGTTGTCCACAGCTTCAAGCTTTTTGGGCACTTGGGGAGTTCATAATGGAAATGTCACTGCGGCCCATCCGGCTGACATTTTGGAGTACTCAGCCATTCCCAGAGGTAATTAGAGAATTATATATCCTTTAAGGTTGGTGACAGCAAAAGGATTGGTGACAGCAAAAATATATATGAGTGGCTCCAAGTGCGTACCGAACTTCTGGGGTAGTATCATACTTTCCACTATAAGTTCACCACAATAGCGTTAGCTTAATGGGACAGGTTTTGTGTGTACATCATGTCTCTGTAGTCTCACTGCCCAATTCACTGCTATTTAGGAGTTAATCCCTTCAGGACCAAGGCTTTTTTGTGTGATGCAACGTGTTTGTGACCTGTGATAGAAATAAAGCAGCTGAGCAAGATACCTTAGTCGCTGTATTTAAAGGGCTATGTGCAGCTCTCACACACACACACCTACACATAGTGCTACTAAGACTGTACAAATGTTTTATGGTTTTATGGCTGGAATTATTATCTCATTGTCTGAAATGTATAAATTATTTTATATTAAAGTTTATATTTAAATTTTGTTATAAGGTGTAAAGTATTTTGAGTTTAGAAATGTATAAAAACAATATTCATGCCAATTTAAATCAGAAGAAACTGGATGAACAAAAAATATTATTTATCAAGCTGTCTGCATGTCACATTTGGCTTGGGTGTGTGTCAATGGAATATATACCACCCTGTTCCCAATTCTCAGTGGTACCCATTTTGTGCATGGGGAACCACTATCCTTAATCTATCATCTCCCAGTGCTTAAGCTTTTCCACTCTGCCAGAGATTCCTCTATAAATGGTCTGAAACTGCTATCAAATACCTGTGGCTTAGGTTAACCACAGATCTCAGTCAGTGATATTGGCCTAACACACAGCTGATCCTAGACAAGTTTCATGATGCCTCTCATCTGCTCTCTGAAACCTCCTCCGTTGGACTCACACAGTGGTCTAACTGAATAACTCATAGAGCAGAAAACACTCTTGACCTCAATTCACCAATCTCTGTACCACCTCTAATCTCTCCAATGCTCCATTTCCTATATCTGTCCACCATCTGCTGTCCATTGACATCCACATACCCCATACCCAAAGTACCTCACCCCCACCACATCAATCTTTCAGAAACCTCCGTTGTCTTGACCTACAGCAATTCTCCACCAACCTCCAAAGACATCTTTCACCGATCTCAAATCTCACCTGCCCTAAGACTGCAACCTTCCTCTACAACTCCACTCTCTGCTCTCAACTAGACATCATAGCACGTCCTACACTTAAACACACTAAGCGCCCCAATTACAACCCTGGCACACCAAGCTGACCTGATAGCTCCAAGAATGTTCCAAAACTGCTGGTCTGACTTCCTCCACTATAAATTTATGCTGCACTCCTACAGATGGGCTTTTTCCTCTTCAATACACTCATAACCACACTCTCCAGTGAGCCCAAACGATTGTTTCATGCTTTTAACTCTCTTCTTCGCCCTGTCGTGCCTCCTCCTCCTACCAACTTGACCCCCACAAACTTTGCAACTCACTTCACTGAGAGGATTTCTACAATCA